CCTTCCAGAAGAGCTTCACCGTGCATGGCTGCGTCGGTTATAACGGTGACGAAAACACTCGACCGCGGCGGTAGGTTCACATGGTCGGTGATAACTCGGATCGCTGTTGACGTCGTGTTGATCTCCACCGGCGGCACGACGGGCTTTCGAAGCGTCAACTGGTTTGCAGCGAGGTCGATGACGGCGCCATACTCGCAGAGAAAGTCCATTCCGAGGATAAAGTCCCTCGAACAGTCTTGCAGAACGACGAACTTCACAGGGCACATCTCACCGTGGATCTCGACGCGAGCAGTGCACCTCCCGACTGGTGTGATGAGGTGCCCTCCGGCGGTTCGTATTTGAGGTCCATCCCACGGCGTCGTGACTTTTCGAAGGCGGCGGGAGAGCCTCCCACTCAAAACTGAGTAGTCTGCTCCGGTGTCCACGAGTGCCGATGCGTCGTGGCCGTCGATGATGACGTTTAGGTTGTTGGACGCCGTTTCAGGAGCGTCGTTTCGGTCTCCGGTAGCGTTCGGGTGGGGGCCCTCCGACGTTCGTGGAGGATCTTGGCGTCGGTCGTCTTCGGCAACTCCACCTCCAGGGGTTGCCGCGCCTAGTTTCCCCGGCGTGGAGCGAGGGGCGACAGGCTTTCACGTCGGGGTCGGTGCATTGGCGAAGCTGGACGTCGTGGTGAAGGCGATCGGAACTCTCGGCGGGACGCAGGCTCGGGGGACTGGGGTCGTCGCAAGTACTCGTCGATCTCCCGAGGGCGTTCACCATACCTGGGGCGCGGGTCGCTTGGGTGGAATGCGCGCAGCCCGAGACGTCGGTATGGGCATCGGCGGTACACATGGTCAGCTTCCCCGCAGTGGTAACACAGCGGGCGTCGGTCGGCCGTCCTCCAGACGTCTGTCTTCCTCGGCGCAGGTCGGTCTGGGTGAACGTGCGCCTGATCTTCCTGTCGTCGGGGATACTGCGGCGTTGGTGAGTCTCTTCGGGGTGGCGCCGCGGCTTGGCAGGGAGCTTGCGGCACCACCCTTGCGGCATCACTTGCACTGCGAACCCTTGGAGGGGAACGCTGCACGGGCATGCGTTACCCCGCACCTCCACCAATATGTCACGGGTGGTGACAAAAAACAATAGATGAACAGGAAGAAATAAACGTTAAATGTGGCGAACTTGTGCCAAAAATAAAAGAGCACAAAAGATAATAACAAAGCGTCGCGGGCGTCGAAGTCGGCGAAACCGCAGGATCGAGCGCTGGGGCGAGACTGACTGCAGATCGCCACGCGGAGCCCCTTATGTACACGTGTAGGCTTCTGAAATAATCGGCGTGGAAGGTTCGGCGTGTAGAACATTCCGACCTCGAACAAGCAACACGGTTCTCGAATTTACCAGAACATTACTTTACAGAGTCAACAAAAAATGTGCCTCCGCGGCCAGGAATCGAACCCTGGCTTTCGGCTTGGAAAGCAAGCGCGATAACCGTTAGGCCACGCGCGCGCTGCCTACTTGGCCAGCTGTGCGCGCGGCAATATAGTTTACATAGGTTGGCGCAGTATGGCCATCGTAGCTCTTGCGCCACAAAACCCGCAAACAGCAACTGACGACGAAGGAAATACAGCAAAACAACATGAAGATCAGGTTAAGAGTAGTGTTTTTCATTTTGCGCACGCTAGCCGGCTTTCAGCACACGCTCTCCGCTCGTTCCAGTCGGCGGCGCCATAGTCTTTAAAAGCATACTCTTATGAATTGATTGCCTTATTTTAGAATTAATAAATTAACCTTGAAATGTTCGCATTTTAACATACAATAAATGCCTACTGTCGAGGCACGCGCGAAAATAGCAGTAAATAATAAAATGAACTGTCAGGGCAGCATGCACTGTGATGTTCGTGTGTTTAGTACATCCGCATGGCGGTGCCAGCGGCGAGCAGTCTGGCAACCGGGGATGCATGCGCCATCACGTTCTGCGCTGCTGCGCGTGTGGAACATCAAGTCGGAGACCGTTGTTGGAGCTAGTCTGGCCCGCAATAAATGTTGACGCCACGGAGTGTTTGTTTGCGCGAACCCGACATAACAGTGGCGACGAGGATGGGATTCCTGCAGGACGGCGGCACTGCGGCCGCCAAGGAAAGCTAACTCCGTTGCCCGGCCGCTCAGCATGGCCACCGCTCCCACCGAGGCCTACATCGAAGCTTTCGACTTCTCCCGACCTGAGGACTGGGAGGATTACGCACAGCGGTTTGAATTCTTCCTGGGTGCGCAAGGTATCACAGATGCCGGTAAGAAGCGGGCGACGTTCCTCAGCCGTTGCGGCTCCGCTACGTTCCAGTTGGCCAAAGCGCTCGTGGCGCCGGCCCCGCTCGGGGATACGCCCCTCGAAGCAATCCTCACAGCGCTGAGGGAGCACCTGGCCCCGAAGCCTCCAGAGCTTTCGAGGCGACACGAGTTCCATCGCCGTGACCAGGCACAGGGAGAGTCTGCGGCGGCCTACCTCGCTGCCCTTCGTACCACAGCGCAGCATTGCCAGTTCACCGCCCTCGACACTGCGCTCCGGGATCGTTTTGTGTTCGGGTTGCGGAGCGACAAAGTGAAGCAACGGCTCTTGGCTAAAAAAGAAGTGACCCTCGCCAGTGCTGTCGAGGAAGCAATCGCTGCCGAGGTCATCGACCGGGAAGCCTGCCGCGACTCCCGCCCAAGCGTAAGCGCACCACGCATCGAGCCCGTGCACCAGGGGACAAGCGCGGGTATCGACAACGAGCAAGACGCCGAAGAGGACGTCTTGCGCCTAAGGATAGACCAGCGGAGGGACCCGGAAGGAACGGGAGGCGCCTTCTGTGCTGGCTGCGGAGGCTCCCACGAACGGCGGCTGTGCCGTTTCCGGGATGCCCAGTGCAGGGGCTGCGGAAAAACGGGTCATATACTTCGAGTCTGCCGGTCCCGAAGGCCACGGGACTACCGCCAGAATTCTGAGTCGGACTGCAAGACGCCTCGCGTCAGGGCCACGACTCGCACAAACATTGCCTACTGCGACGATCAAACCGTGACTGCTATCCACGATGTGCCCGCGCCGGCCCTGAGGAAGATACATGTGGAGGTCATGCTCGAGGGCAAGCCATGCCAAATGGAGGTGGATTCTGGGTCAACGTTTTCGCTCATTTCTGAGGCCACAGCCAGGCGGATCTTCCCAAATGGCTGCTTGCCAGCCCTGAAACCACTGGATATCACGATGAAGGACTATCAGGCCAACCGCATCGCAGTGCATGGCTATGGCATGTTCAGGGTGAAATTCAAGGACTTTGATGGCCTATTGCGTCTCGTCATCGTCAAGGGTGAGCGTCAGAGCCTCCTGGGACTGGACTGGTTCCCAGCCCTGGGCATCAACATCATAGGAGTGCAGCACATCACCCAGCCATCTCATGCGATCAGTAACATCCTTAAGAATTTGGGTCCGTGTTTGAAGGAGCGTTGGGATGCTACAAAGGACCACCTGTGCAGTTTTCACTCAATCCTGAGGTCATGCCCGTGCGGTTGAAGGCAAGAAGAGTACCCTTTGCTCTTCGGCCAAAAATCGATGCCGAGCTAGACAAGCTCATACAACAAGGGGTGCTGGAGCCTGTGGATCAAGCTAAATGGGAAACACCTATTGTCACGCCCTTGAAGGCAAATGGGGATGTGCGTATCTGTGCAGACTACAAGTGCACGATTAATAGGGCATTGCAAGAACATGCATACCCAGTGCCAGTCGTGAGCCATCTCCTGGCAGCCCTTGGAGGTGCCACAATCTTTGCAAAACTTGATTTGGCACAGGCATATCAGCAGCTGCCAGTGACCGAAGAACCAGCAGAGGCCCAGACCATCGTAACTCATCGGGGAGCTTTCCGCGTCCGCAGGCTTCAGTTTGGGGTCTGTGTCGCACCCGGCATCTTCCAGAGTCTCATGGAAAACCTCCTGAGGGGACTACCGGGTGTCATCGCTTATTTTGATGACGTGATTATTGCTGGAGCCTCACATGAAGAACTGCTTGTTCGCCTGCGTGACGTTCTACGGCGGTTTCAAGCCGTAGGGCTCAAGGTCAAGAAAGAAAAATGCCAACTCGGTGTGACACAAGTAGACTTTTTAGGGTTTCGAGTTGACGCTGAGGGAATACATCCGACACCGGGAAAGACCGAGGCCATCATGAATGCCCCATGCCCTGCAAACAAGACTGAACTACCGGCATTCCTGGGACTCCTCAACTTCTACCATGCTTTCCTACCCCACAAGGCAACCATTGCAGAACCACTGCACCGTCTATTGAACAAGAATGCTAAGTGGGCCTGAGCCGAACACAACAGAGAGCCTTTGATGCGGTGAAAGAGCTCTTGGCATCCAACCAAGTCTTAACACACTTTGATGAAAATAAACCCTTGATCCTGGCTTGTGATGCCTCCCCATACGGAATAGGAGCTGTGCTGAGTCACCACATGCCTGATGGGAAAGAAGCACCTATCTCATTCTATTCCAGGACACTGTCTACCACCGAGCGCAATTATGCTCAGATTGATAAGGAGGCGCTTGCAGTGGTCGCAGGTGTAAAAAAGTTTCATGACTACGTATGGGGCCGCCAAATTGAGATCCACACGGACCACAAGCCACTTCTGGGGCTGTTCACCCCAGACCGTCAGACACCGCAGATGTTGTCACCACGGATGCTGCGCTGGTCGATTTTTCTAAATGGGTACCAGTACTCTCTCCTCCATCGGCCTGGGAAGCGGCTGGGCCACGCAGACAGCCTCAGCAGAATTCCCTTAATGCAACAGCACCAGGACGACCCGGCCCCAGCAGAGATCATTATGCTCCTGGACATGCTCCCAGAACCTCCACTCCAAGCCGCTGACATCGCCACACAGTCTGCAAGGGACCGTACCATGTCTCGTGTACTCAACTGGGTGTGGAAGGGGTGGCCACCAAGGCACAGCATCACATCTGAGTTCACACCATTCGTGTCAAGGCAACATGAGCTGTCTGCCCACAAAGGTTGTTTACTGTGGGGTGACGGTGTGGCGATACCGCTGAAGCTACGGTCCCGGATTCTCGAAGCCTTGCACGCCGGACATCCAGGAATTGTTCGGATGAAGGCACTTGCCCGCAGCTATGTATGGTGGCCAGGAATGGATGCGGCTATCGAGGAATGGGTGCGACGATGTTCTCCCTGCCAGGAAACACAGCCAGAGATGCCCCGAGCACCAGTCCATCCATGGGAGACGACCCGGGCGCCGTGGTGTCGCCTGCACATTGATTTCGCTGGGCCGTTCCAAGGAAAGACATTCCTGATCATAGTGGACTCCTATTCAAAGTGGCTGGAGGTCATCGCAGTGTCATCCATGACATCGCTCACCGTGATCAATGCCTTACGGAGGCTGTTCGCAACACATGGTCTTCCAGACACAGTAGTGTCGGACAATGGGCCTCAATTTACGTCCGCCGAGTTCCGGGAGTTTCTTGAGGCCAACCTGATCCGCCATGTGACATCTGCACCTTTTCATCCATCTACAAATGGCCAGGCTGAAAGGATGGTGCGAACCACCAAGGAGGCTCTGTCGCGCATTGTGCAGGGAGATTGGTCACGGCGACTGGCAGATTTCTTGCTACAGCAGCATGTAACTCCACACTCAAGCACGGGGCGATCACCGGCCGAACTGTTAATGGGCCGGCGGGTATCGACCATGCTGGACCGGCTGCATCCCGACCGGGCTCCGGCCAAGTCATCCCAGCAAACAGGACTGCTGCCAGTGCCACGCTCATTCCTGCCTGAGGACCCTGTATTTGCACGCAACTATGGCCGTGGCCCCCCATGGGCCCCCGCTGTGATTGGCCGAGCGACCGGGCCAATCTCCTACGAAGTGACCCTCCCAGATGGCAGGGTGTTGCGGCGGCACGTTGACCAGCTCCGGCGCCGGGCAATGGCGCCTTGCACAAGCGAGGGACCGGCACCAACAGAACAACAGCCAGAGGTCTAACCCACACAAGGGCCATCACCAAGGGAAGTTTATCCTCGGCAAGGGATACCTCCAGGGCAAGTGAGCAATGAGCCAGCCGAGAGTTCGTTGGAAGAGCAGCCAACGGCTGAACCCTCTGCAGGCAACACAACCACGTCCCAACCTGTGCCAACGACCGCACCACGGCCAGTGTCGCCGGAAGGACTAGAGGGGGATCCTGAACCAGCGACCCTGCGCCGTTCGCAGCGAGCTCGGAAAGCCCCATCCCGCCTGCGAGACTTTGTGCTGGCGCTGGCCGAGTGTTGAGCCTGAACTTAGGGGGAAGGGGTGTTATGTTCGTGTGTTTAGTACATCCGCATGGCGGTGCCAGCGGCGAGCAGTCTGGCAACCGGGGAAGCATGCGCCATCACGTTCTGCGCTGCTGCGCGTGTGGAACATCAAGTCGGACACAGACCGTTGTTGGAGCTAGTCTGGCCCGCAATAAATGTTGACGCCACGGAGTGTTTGTTTCCGCGAACCCGACATAACAGTCACTTTACATAACACAGACAGTAAGCATTATACACGTTCATTTAAGAAACACTTAAAACGATTCATTATAAAGCATTGTAACAATATTACTTGGTAGCTGGTTTTTTCTTGATCTATACAACGGGTATAAAAAAAATCATCAACATTTTTCTCAATCTGTTTCTTAGTGCTCATTCTTGCCTCACAATTCGGCAGCAGTGCGCGTCAAGGAAACAGCGTACTAATCATCTGTATCTCTGCAGTTTGCCGGCTACTCGTGGATTCAAATCATCGAAGATCACCACATCATCATTAGTCACTCACGCTGCCACGGGCCAAGAGACGCAGCGACAACAGCGCAACTCACGGCAAGATCATCTATAAAAGAAGCCAACACGCCAGCCTGGTCTTCAGTTCGGCAGCAGTGCGCGTCAAGGAAACAGCGTACTAATCATCTGTACCTCTGCAGTTTGCCGGCTACTCGTGGATTCAAATCATCGAAGATCACCACATCATCATTAGTCACTCACGCTGCCACGGGCCAAGAGACGCAGCGACAACAGCGCAACTCACGGCAAGATCATCTATAAAAGAAGCCAACACGCCAGCCTGGTCTTCAGTTCGGCAGCAGTGCGCGTCAAGGAAACAGCGTACTAATCATCTGTATCTCTGCAGGTGAGAAGCACTTATTCTTTATATAAGCCTAAAACGTATCTTTGCACTGCTGCCGAACACAGCACCGATTGTCTTTTTTGTCTGTTTTGAGTGTGTGAAGTACGGTGACGTCGGGTCGCTGACATGACTAAAGAAGTAAAAGACATTGGGAAAACTATCGATGAGCTAAGACGAGAGATGAGAGCGGACTTTCGAGCCCTAAAAGAGAGTGTCAAATACTGTAATGACACCTGCGACGGAGTCACCGAGATTAAAAACGAAATAAAGGAACTTCGGAAAGAGGTCCAGAACGTATCCCAAAAAAATGAAGAATTGATCGCTGAAAACCGTAAACTAAATGCTAAAATCGAAGAACTAGAACAGTATCAGCGGTCCAACAACCTCGAGATAAAGGGCGTACCAGAGGAAGGTGATGCATACGACATAGTTCAAAGAATAGGGACGCTTTTGAACGAACCAATCTCAGGTTCTGAGATTGATGTGTGCCATCGCGTGCCCACATTCAGAACAACAGAAAAAAACATAATCGTCCGCTTCGTGCGACGGTCCAAACGCGATGCGGTCTTGCAGAAAAGCAAAAAACAAAGACTGACAACAAAAGACCTTGACTATGGCGGAAGCCCCAGCCCCATATATGTGAATGAGCATTTAACGGGTGCAAATAAAAAGCTACTGGGAGCTGCGATCGCCCAAAAGAAACTTGTTGGGTGGAAATTTGTGTGGTCATCTGGGGGAAAAGTGTTTGCGCGAAAGGATGAACATGCCAACGCAGTCCGAATCGCTGGCATGTTTGATGTGGCGAAAATTGTGAATTAAACTATAAGCTAGTACTTTGGAGTGCACACGACACTTCAATAATGGAAACTGCCCTACCCGATTGTTATTATTATGACTACAATGCGTTCAATAAAAAGTACAAAGAAGGTAAACGCCAAATTTCAGCAATTCATTTAAATGTAAGAAGCATAAAGAATAAAGTTGATAACCAAGAAATATTTTTGCATTCGTTGAATGTGCACTTTAATGTAATAGCACTTACGGAAACCTGGCTGACAAAAGAGGACATGGCGCCAATCATGGACGGTTATAAGTGCGAAATCATGAGCAGAGATAAGAAAAGGGGTGGGGGTATCGCTATTTATATTAAAGATAAACTACAGCATGAGGTTGTAGATGACTTGTCCAAAATTGATGCAAACATTGAAAGCTTGTGTGTTAAACTATCAAATACTGTTGTTCTTGCTTTATACAGGCCCCTTCGGGTAATATATATGAATTCATGACCTTTCTTGATGATGCACTGTCTTTTCTGGGATCGCTATCTGTGCCATTCTTTATTCTTGGCGACATAAATATAGACACAATTTCAGATGACCTTCACGCTCAAAATTTTCGTGATATTGTCAACCAGTATGCTTGCAGCAATTTGGTAACATTGCCCACTAGAATAACTGCAGACACTGCCACGTACCTTGACGTATGCATAACAAATACCGATACTCATCATATTACAGCAGGTGCAATCATGTGTGATATTAGTCACCATCTTCTAATCTTTTGCCTAGAGTCCTCCTCTGCTAGAGAAAATAACAAAGACATAGAGACGTTTTGGCATCGCACCATTAATGAGGAAACGCTAAGAACTTTCGGCTGCCTTATGGAAGCGGAAACGTGGGATGACGTTTATGCTGAGTGCAATCCTAGAAATGCCTATAGAATATTCCTGATGAAAGTCAGACAGTACTATAATGCAGCTTTCCCTCTTCAGGAACGTAGAGTGAAATGTAAAAAATTGAGAAAGCCTTGGATGACTACAGACCTGTATGGAAGAATAAGGCAAAAAAATGCCAAGTATCATGCCTTCATTCAGCATCGTGATCCGCGGCTGCTTATCGAGTTCAAGAAATGCAGAAACAAACTTAATGCCGACCTAAAAAAAGCAAAATTCGAATACTATCAAAAAGAACTTCTACGCATACACAATGACCATAGAAAGGTGTGGGACACAGTAAACAAACTCACGAACAGGGAACAGGCACGATGTAATCTGAAAGAAATACTAATAGATAATAAACGTGTCACTGGGAAAGAACTTGGCGATAAAATGAATAGACATTTTATTAGCATGGGTGCGTACACTGGGAGGGCTTCCAACATAGATGACTGTATTGACGCGGGAAACCAAATTGGGTCGATTATGCTTACTCCAACGACACCATTTGAAATTGATAAAATAATCAGAAACCTAAAAAATGACGTCGCCGCTGGAGTAGATGAAATAAAAACCCTACCTATTAAGTACACTGTGACCATAGTTAGTCCAGTTCTATCGAATATAGTAAATAAGATGCTTCAGTCCGGTGATTTCCCTGACGAGCTAAAAATAGCCAGGGTCACTCCAGTGTATAAAGGAGGGGGTGAGACAAACATTAATAACTACAGACCTATCTCAGTTCTTCCAGTTTTTTCTAAAGTATTTGAGCGTGTCATTGCTGATAGATTAACATGATTTTTTGAGAAGCATAATATAATAACGAAGTCCCAATACGGCTTTCAAAAGCAAAAATCGGCGGAGCTAGCGCTTCTTAACATAAAGGATAAAATAGTAGAAAATATTGAGAACAAATTATTTACTCTTGGTCTCTTCTTAGATTTAAGTAAAGCTTTTGATACTGTGCAGCACAATATTTTACTCAGAAAGCTTGAAATTTACGGTGTGCGCGGAGTAGCTCTAAAATTAATTGAAACGTATCTTGCGGATCGTTACCAATATGCACTAATAAACGCCGAATCGTCAAATCGACTTAAAATACAGCATGGTGTCCCTCAGGGGTCAATTTTAAGTCCACTTCTTTTTCTTATATATGTTAATAATATAACGACTATATCCGGTTCCCCCGACCTTATAATGTATGCAGACGATACGAACGTATTCTTTTCTGGAGTGACGAAAAAATGCCTAGAAAATGCTGCAAATGTCTATCTATTGAAGCTATCCAACTGGTTACAAACAAATTCTTTAAAACTAAATACAATCAAAACTAAGTATATTATTTTTAAGCCAATAAATAAACTCGACTGCAGCCCCATAAGCTTAAAATTTGAAGACACTGTGCTTGAGCAAGTGTCGGAACAAACATTTCTTGGTGTATGGTTTACCGAGGACCTTTCATGGAACACTCACGTGAATAAACTCAAAGGTGAATTATCTCGTGTTACGGGAAGTATATATAAAATACGAAACTTGCTGCCCACTTGGCTAAAACAGACGTTGTACTATTCTTTGGTCTACTCTAAAATCAGTTACGGTATCTTAGTTTGGGGGACGACGATCAATTCGAACTATGTCAAACTTATCACCTTGCAGAAGAGGATTCTTCGCATGTGCGAAAATTATAAAGGAGATATTAGAAACATAAGAACCCAACCTCTATTCATCAAATATAATATGCTTCAGGCAGACCAAATATACTATTTTAAACTCTTACAATGGATTCACAAACATAGAATATACTCCACACCAAAATCGAGTTTAGGTCCGTACCAACTACGAGACCCAAAACGAAGGATGCCTTCAATAAGAACCAATTATGGCCGCACTGCTTTGTCATATCAGATAACTAAGATGCTAAACAGAACAGACATGACTATAGATTATAATAAAACATTTTATGCCTTCAAAAAACAGTGCCGAAGCTTTCTCGTGGGCAGTGGTATGAGCTTCTCACTTGTGTGATATGTAGGCTAAGCTGTTATTTTTATTATGTATTTATATTTGACTACAAATATGACTCTTGGCATATATTCGATCATTATTCATTTCTAGACTAAATTGC